GTCATCCGAAATGTAGGCAAAAACTTGGGGGCAACCCATTACTCATGCATGGGGGTGAACTGGCACTTTTCTAATAAACATGCACACCTGCAAAGCAGATGTGTTTAATTTATTACTCACAGCTGAGCAAAATTGTCGCCTGCCTGAATATACTTGGATTTTAGCCTGTAAATTTCAGCTACTCAATGGAATTAGGTTATCTCTACTTTCTTGACTTATCACCAATGCACGAAGGTCGATGCCATCTTTGATTATTGATTACACTTGCACGCGGCATCTCGCGGCAACTATAGGCCTAGTGATACATTATGACACGAATATATAAGACAGTCGAGCAGGTATGAAGTAGGATGCATTGTTAGGGTTTAGTTTTAGTGTTAATACCTATGCTACACAGTTTTGATGATGACGTAGCCGGTTTAGCGATAGAACAGGCTTTCAACCTTTTGCAGAAACGAAAGCCAGTACAGTAGAGCAGCAGACCTCAGATGAGCACTGTCGCTAATGCGGCACTTGTTTTATTAAGTAATTATTAATTAATTAATAATTAATTAATTATTTGCGAGACATCCCTCTTTATCATTTCATTGCCGCATTTACTTCCCTCTACGTCTCTATGTCGCAATGTGGAACTTTCAACTGTGACTATGGTTTTGCAACATTACACTTTCCGATCACCAGGTACCCGATGGGTCATGTACCGCAGCCAGTCAGCGTGCTATCCCAGCATGCACTGGCGGAGAACGGGTCGCAGGGGCGACCGCCGCAGCCTCCGACGGCCGGACCGCAGTACATAGGTACGTCACCATGCCCCGCCCGCCCCGCCCGCCACGTCCAGCCGTCGCTGGTGTGCTGACGCATGCTCACACTCCTCATGCAGGTTTTCCTTGTTAAATAAATATAAATTAAAAGTAAAATAAAAAAAATACTTAAAAAAGTAAGTAAAGTAAAGTAAGTAGTTTGATAGTTTAAGTAAATATGTATAGTGTACACATATGACAAATTTCGTTCGTCTGTTGAAAAATCTTTTTAACGTGGTTGGACGGTTGAGTTTTTTTTTACGGTGATTATGATTATTTATAAACTGGAATCTATAAAAAGAAACTAAAATAAATTAATGCAAGTGCCTTTTGATGTGGAGGTGCAAAGTTGTTGTTGTGGCAGTTGTGTATCTGTTCCCTAAATCCGTTTGTTGTCTGTTGTTGATATTTCATAAATGCTGATACCTGTCATTTTTTACAGGGTATCCAGTGGTGAACTACTCACAGTCACAACCACTGCAGCAGCCTGCTCACATACAAGCAGCCCAGCAGCAACAGCAGCAGCAGCAACAACAGCAGCAACAGCAACAACAGCAGCACCACCACCAACAACAGCAGCATCAGCAGCCAAACCCTGTGTCAGAACAGGCCTATGTAGGTGGCGCCGTCTATGGGCCTTCCACCCAACCAGTCTATCAACAGGTAAACTGCTGTTTCTCGAACATAGTGAGAAAGCATAAGTAATATAGTGAGGAAGCATAAGGACCACTGCGATGGCTCAATGGTTGAGTGCTTGCCTCGTATGTGGAAGGTCGGGGGTTCAACTCCCGGCCGGGTCATACCAAAAACTTGAAAAATGGTACACACGGCTTCTCTGCTTAGCATTCAGCAAATAGAGATAGAGTGTGGCAAGTTAACTCGCAGTGCTACCAGTGGACTAACCCCCTACTGTAGCATTTACTGTGAAAGCAGCTGCTGAGAGCAGCCTCAGGGTTACTGAAATGGAGATAGGCACCGCCCTATGCGCCATGTAACCATGTGCTATGTGTATGAAGGCGCGGGAAGGATTTATATAAGTGTATGCAGATAACAATGCGGCTGCTCTGTACAGGTGGTAACGTGTATGGGGGTAACGGGGGGGTAACGTGTGTGATGACTTACCGGCTGCTCTGTACAGGTGGGGTAACGTGTAATGTCTGACTGGCTGCTCTGTACAGGTTTGGGTAACATGTGTAATGTCTTACCGGCTGCTCTGTACAGGTTTGGGTAACGTGTGTGATGTCTTACCGGCTGCTCTGTACAGGTGGGGGTAACATGTGTGCTGACTGACTGGCTGCTCTGTACAGGTGGCGATGGCGCCGGGCTACTATGCGTCGAGCATGAGCGCGCCCGCGTCGGCGGCGGCGGCGGCGTACGGTCTTCAGTCTCCCGCCGCCGTCCCCGCTGGCTACTACAGCGCCCCCATGACGACGTCCGTGCAAGTCGTGCCGAGCATAGCCTACTCCGGCGGCGGCGGCGGCGGCGGCTATCGCATGCAGACGTCGGCGCCACCTAGGGTGATCGGGAACGGAACCAACGCGCCCATAGGTTCGTCGTTGTCGTGTTGTGCATTTCTCTTGCGGGTTCTGTGATGATTTTTGCGATTTTTGTCGCGCGTTGGCCGTACTGTAGGAAGCATGGGGAATGCAGTGGGAATTGTTGATTGGCCTTCTCATCCTAATCTATAAATTTTTTGTCATCGTGATTGATTACCTTTGTCCTTAATCGCTTACTGTCTGTTGTCTTGTTTGTTCACTTATTTGTCATTCATCATGTTTGTTTTTTGGTCCTATTCTTGATTGTTCAATGTGCTTCATCGGCATTTTACACTGACCTTGTTATAAATTGTTCACTGACCTTGATCTTGACCATTCATTTTATATTACTTGCTCTTTGACCTTCATTTACATTGTATAGCAGGGGTAGAAATTAAATTTTGAACACGGGAGTCCAACGGACTCCCTGCCCTCAAAAAGAGGGAGTTTGCAGAAAAATGAGGGAGTCCGCAGTCTGAGGTTCAAAATTAAAGATAATATATTAACAATAACGCATGTGCTTATTTTTAAGATTCATGTGGTTGCACGCCTGCCAAATTTTCTTTGGACATTAGCTGAAAAAATATGGTAATTCCACGAGGCCGTGCTCCAGAATGAACTAGTTAGTATGGCAGAATTTTCAGGGAGTCAAACGGACTCCTGCATATGTCAAATCAAGGAGTCCGACAGTAAATCAGGGAGTATTTGACTCCGGACTCCCGTTAATTTCTCATCCTGTATAGTGTTCCCCATATTCCCCATTTCTCATGTCGCACCATCCAGGCAGTGGGCAAGTGCAGTAATACTATCAGCCATTTAATATCGCATTAATTTCTATTACGTTATATAATAGTTATTATTAACGAGTTGTTTTCCGTCCGACCCTACACAGCCCAGCAGACGCACGCGATGATGCAACAGCAACCGGTGACGCCACCTATTGGGCAGCAGCAGTTTGCCTACCCGGCAGCGGCGGCGGCAGCAGCGTACATGCATCCGCATGCGCAGCCGGGGGCGGCGGCGGCGGCGATGGCCCCCGTGCAGCACTACGGCGCCGCCGCAATCCCAGCGTACCCTGTGATACGTCAGGTGGCGCCGCCTGGAGGCGTCGCCGCCGCGCAGGCCAAGATGGTCGGCGACAAGGTCGGATTCGTCGGAGGACAGCACATCGCCGCCGGCAGAGTCGGGTGAGCGTTCGCGGGCCACCAGGGGGCGTCACCATCGGGTCTGGTCGCGCGCCGCGTGCTGCTCTATGTCGTGGATATTTGGGGGGGGGGGTGACGACGTGCAGTTATGTGTCAAGGTTGTCGTTAGATTACTGAATGAGATGCAGTTTTGATTGACAAAAATGCAATTATTGTGAGCAATATATGAGAGCATGATTGTTGAAAATGAGGTAAATATCTGTTAAGAGTATATTAGGAGTATTTTCAGCATTGTCACCCTCTCAGCATTGTCACAACCTCAGCGTTGTCACCCTCTCAGCATTGTCACAACCTCAGCATTGTCACCCTCTCAGCATTGTCACAACCTCAGCATTGTCACCCTCTCAGCGTTGTCACAACCTCAGCATTGTCACCCTCTCAGCATTGTCACAACCTCAGCATTGTCACAACCTCAGCGTTGTCACAACCCCAGCGTTGTCACAACCTCAGCGTTGTCACAACCTCAGCATTGTCACCCTCTCAGCATTGTCACCCTCTCAGCATTGTCACAACCTCAGCATTGTCACCCTCTCAGCATTGTCACAACCTCAGCATTGTCACCCTCTCAGCGTTGTCACAACCTCAGCATTGTCACCCTCTCAGCATTGTCACAACCTCAGCATTGTCACAACCTCAGCGTTGTCAAAACCTCAGCATTGTCACTCTTAAATATCTGTTAAGAGTATATTAGGAGTATTCTCAGCGTCGTCACCCTCTCAGTGTTGTCACCATCTCAGTGTTGTCACTCTGCTGCTGCAGGTATGAGTACGGCCCGCATCAGTCGCTCGTCGCGGGGATGCAGAAGATGAATGTGATGCAGCCACGCCGACCCGTCTCCACGACGACCTTCATCCGACCGGCCTACGCACAAGGTGTGTAGCGTGTATATATATAGATAGCATATATATATGTATATATATAGATAGCATATATATATGTATATATATAGATAGCATATTGATATGTATATATAGATAGCATATAGATATA